GAGGCTGGAAAACTTATGGTCATTTCAGGTCATTTCTAGACTCCACGCCTGCCGGCTGATGGGATCCTTGCTACAACATCTCCACCATGTGGCTGTCTGGCCCTCTGCGGCGGCAGCCCCAGTGACCACAAAGTCCCTATGTCCAGAGGCAACGCATTCTAACTTCCAACGACTTTATCCAAACCCACTTCCCACTGAGCTTCAGCTTCACGTCCCTCCCGCAGCCACGCGAAGAGCCAGGCCACCCCCCAGAGCCAGTCAGAGCAGGTCTGACCGCAGGGAAGCAACCGGGCACAGAGTGAGACTCTGGGCTCCTGTGTCTGGTCGGGACCGAGCGAGCTGCCCACAGGTCCCTGTGGTTAAAAATGAAAAAAAGCCAGTAGACAGCGCTCCCCCCTAAAGATGAGCACAGGGTATTCCCGCGCACGAGACTTCCGGTACATAGCCGTCATGTTCACGGTCACCTTTCCTCTCTTCTGCCCGGCAAGCCTTCACACGCTGGGAAACGTCTGTCCTGTCTCCTCCAGCCTCCTCTCATCTCAGGGCAACAGCCGCAACCTCCTGAGCTGTGCCTGGCAGGACAGGTTCTCCAGACCCACCACCGAGACTGCGCGTCTGCTGGTCGACACAGCGGCTCCTGTTCCTCTGGTTCTAGTTTTTTCAGAGTCCACATTGTTTTAGGGACAAACTGTGCCGAAAGCGTGTCAGCGGGGAGGCACAGGAGAGACCCCTCCCGGGGAAGCTTCCCCCCCGCCCCCGTGACGGTGCCCACCACGCCCCCCGACGGCCAACCACATGGAGCCCACCCAGCCAACCAGCCCTGACCATTACGTCCAGGGGATGGTTTCCCGCTCTCCCCAGATGGCACTGGGGAGAATCGTCCCGAAGCTTGGCTCCTTTCAACTTCCGGACCTCGTGCGGGCCCTGGAAACGACGGCTAAAGTGGGAACAAGTCTGATAGTTCTGGGTGGGCTCTATCTAGATGACCAGCTCGGACGCTGTCACAGAATGCCGCGGCCTGGGGGGCTCAATCAACAAGTAGCTCTTCCTCCCGGCTATGGAGGCTAAGAAGTCTCAGATCACGGCTGCGGCATGTTTGGTGTCTGGCGGGAAGTCCCTCCGGTTCACAGCTGCCTGCCCCCCACTCACACGGCAGGAGGATGGAGCTCTCTGAGGTCGCCTAATAAGGGCACTGATCCCATTCGGGAGGGCTCCCCGCTCAGGAGCTAAGCCCCTCTCCAAGGCCTCCTCCTAGGATCACACAGAGAGTCCGGATTTCAACCTAAGGACACAAACGCCCAGCCCGCATCGTGGCTCCCCGCCCCGGCTGCCCCCCCCACAGGGAGCAGTCTGAGTGTTTTCCTCCCTTGCTTTTATTAATTCTAATCCTGAGAAATCATCTTTCCCCCCACAAAACTCTGTGGGAGCAGGGCTGTGGCTGGGCTCTGCTGTGACTTGTCCCTGTCCATGTCCCCAAGAACAGGAAACCCACCTAGGACTCCCGCTGCTGGGGAAGTCAAGGTCCATGTTCAGAACCCCCTTGACTTGGTCCAATGGCCCAAAAACCCCTCTGGGAGTGGGGCCTCCCTCCACAGGAGCTCCCGGTCCCTCTCGAGTCGCGCTTCTGACCTTGCCAGCGAGTGCGTTCTCTTGCAGCGCCGTCCAGATGCCCGCATTCCACAAGGCCGGGCTCCCTCACCCCACCTCACAGCCTCCTGTCCCGGCCAGGCCGCCACAGGGCACAAGCACCACCACACCAGTAGGATAGCAACAGCGTGGGTTTGTCACCTCACCTGAGATGTCCCGAAGTCGGAGGCTCCAGGTCAGGTCAGCGACTCTGGGGTCTCGTCGAGGACCTCCAGTCTGTCCGTCTTTCTGCTCCACCATCCCCTGGCTCCTAGCTTCCCTCTCCCCCGGTGGCTGCAGAGGGGCCGCGACGGCCAGTGTTCCTGCCCGAGGACAGCAGGGACGCTTACTCCTCAAGCACCTCTTTCTATGACAACGAAACCTTTCCCAAAGCTCCCAGCAGACGGCCCTTCGGACTTCACTGGCAGGACGTGGATCGATCACACGCCCACGGCCCACCAGCTGCCCTGACGCCCAGGGGATGGGGCCGGACAACTGGCCGGGCCCAGTGTCCGAACACACCAGTGTCTGACAGCGGAAGCACCAGGCGCTGTCACCCAGGAAGAGGGGACGTGGCCACGGGATCGGAGCGAGCGGCACCCGCTCACCTTCAGCCAGGACAGGGCCGGGGTGGAGACCCGCACACCTGGGAGCCCGGGGCCAGGGAGGAACGCTCAGACTGTGGGCAGCCGAGGAAACACGGCTCACGGCGCCAGCTCCAAAGACGCCGGCACTGAACCCGTCCGTGCCCTCACGGGACCCCTTCACGGCACCCCTTCCGGACCCCGGCCCATCGGGGAAGGTACGTGGGCAGAGCCGTGGTATTCAGGACTGGTCACGCGGCTCCTGTCAGGCGACGGCACCACTCAGCTCGCTTCTGTTCTTGTCTGGCTGTTTGTCTGAACTTCCCATTTTATCAAGGTAACACTTCCGCCTGATTCCAGTCTGCCAGACAGTCCTGAGTCCGACTTTTGACATCAAAAAGAGTAGCTCCCCGCTTCGTGTCGTGTGCAGGCTGAATCAACATCGTCCACCTAGCAACCGATGGTTGAAACCAGCCAGAGAGGTCACGGTGTTCCCAATGAGAACATTCTTACGGGTCACTTCGAGGCACAGCTGAAAAAAATCAGTTAAAGAACTTACAAACTCCATGAGCCTCAACACTTCTGTGAAATGGTCTACTTCATTCTGAGGTTGCAGGACCAGCGATCATCTAATTCTTGGGAACCTAAAGGAGAAACCAAGAACAGCAAGTTGCATATGCCTTTGCAGAACCGCCTGATGCCTCCAGCCAGCGGCCAGGAGTGTGTCTTTAGAAATTTACCGAATACACACAGGGCTCCACGGAACCCGGCCTCCATGCATTACACCTGCCGGGCAGGGAGCTCTGGTGGGTCCCTCTCCGGGCACACCCAGCCGGTCACAGGGCTGAAGGCAGGGACAGGGAGGATAGGTGTGCAGACCACACTACACACCACCGGGCAGAATTCCTTCCTCAGAAAGAAACCGGGGGCCGCTGGGAAGGGATGGACCTCAGCAGCCAAAAATCTGACACGTGCACGGGACAGCCACGCCTTGACTTCCTTCAGAGAACGTCACACACACTAACATTCACTCCCCTACCTGCCGGTCTCGCTCTTCTAGAACACACAGGCCGTAAAATCAGAGGCCTCGCAGGTCTATTCACCGCTGAGCTCATTACACGGCAGACACTTGGTAAATGTTTGCTGAAGGAATGAGTGAGTGGCTGGGTCGCTGCTCATCTAAATGGCGATTATCAAGCTGATCAGTTTTAGTTCAGTTAAAAACGCTCTCACTTTCTCACTTTCGCAAACCTCCATGAAGCCGGTTTGGTACTTAGGTCACAGGTGTGTGCGATCGGGAGCTCTGTTCTTTCCCGTGATGCACAGGGATTCTTCGAGCCACTACTTAATACGAACGTCAGATACATGAAGCTTGTCTACCAACATTCAAAGGTTTTCCTTCACTGTTTTATCTAATCAGTCAAGTCTCTTCTCATAAATGAGAAATATTACATATGTGGCGGCTTTCACAAAGTCAAGAAGTGACTAGCAGAAATAACGCCTAACTTCTGTGAATAAGCTCGCCTTTAAGATCTAAAATAATAAACACCACTTATAGACCAAAGACCTCGTGTCGTCAGTTTACCCCAAAAAGTCCCCTGTTCAGTGTATCATTATCCCAGTGGGTCCTTGGCTCCACAAGGGCAAGCCAGCGGTCCAGGGCCTCCTGCAGCTGGCCAGGCAGGGATGTGCTCCCAGGGCTGGCTGAGCCCCAAGCTCGCACCTGCTTATTTTACTATTATGTTCCTACCAATGACTCCCCTCTGCCATGAGCTTCTCTGAGCCCATCTCCTCGAACCTGAGACCCATCCATGCCGGCTGATGTCTGACTATATCATGACGCACGACACTGCCCATCACAGACACAGAACACCATCGACTGGAAGGTACAGCACCGTTTCAGAAACGTTCAAATGTGTGTCTCCACACACACGTGCACACACACGTACGCATCTCCAACTCAATAAAATACAGTAATCCGCTAGCCTTGGAACAAATTATTCCTAGTAAATGTTATAAAATATGAGGGCCTACGTCCTCTACAAAATTAGTTTTACCATGAAGTACAGAAAAGAAAGACATAAATCCATAAATCTTAAGTATGAATCAACTTAGAGGAAACTACAAATATTTGCTAACACACATACCCTCTTTAAAAAGTGTTTCTTTTCATCTGTGGCATTAAATCATATTTTTTATAATGGGAAGGGCTGTTCACACGTTCCTGCACATGAACGCGATAGTCACTCGTTCATGTTTTCATATGTCCGAGTGCCTGGAAGGAAAAGAGGCCACTTTTTTTTTTTTAAAGATTTTATTTATTTATTTGACAGAGAGAGATCACAAGCAGACAGAGAGGCAGGCAGAGAGAGAGAGAGAGAGGGAAGCAGGCTCCCTGCTGAGCAGAGAGCCCGACGCGGGACTCGATCCCAGGACCCTGAGATCATGACCTGAGCCGAAGGCAGCGGCTTAACCCACTGAGCCACCCAGGCGCCCAAGAGGCCACTTTTTTAAGTACAGCATGAAAACGGACTTTAAATCTACCTGCTGTTCTAATTTCTGTTTGTTTGGCAGAAGTTAAGGAAAGTAACAGTTTTTCATTCCATACTGAAGAAAAAATACACTCTTTGCTGAAGACAAAGAGCGGGAAGTCTCTGTAAAATCGAAGACCACCAACACTCGGAAAATCGCGCTCAATAACGTCTACATCTCCAGGATCGACTGGAAACGCACGGGTCTTCAGGGCCTCTTGCCTCTCACGGTGCTCACATCGTAGGCCCACACGGTGTCCACACCCTCCCCGGTGATGTGGTCTGGGGTCCAGCGAGGGAAAGGGAACCGGCAGGCAATGACCCTGGCGTCATCCTTAAGCTCCAGCGCAAGTTTCTCCTCCAGCTGCGGCATCTGGGCAGAAGGACAGCTGTTACTTCAGTAAGCGGTGAAGCGGAGGGAAAGATTCTTAAAGGTTCTTTTGGATCTGAGTGCCTGGAAGTAGCTGTGCAAAAATTAGGAACTGTAGGGGCGCCTGGGTGCCTCAGTTGGTGAAGCATCTACCTTCGGCTCAGGTCATGACATCAGGGTCCTGGGATGGAGCCCTGCATCGGGCTCCTTGGTCAGCAGGGAGCCTGCTTCTCCCTCACCCTCTGCTTCTGCCCCCTACTCATGCTCTTTCAATCTCCCTCTCTCTCTCAAATAAAATCTTTAAAAAAAGATTATTAACTGCACATAAGATCCCTTCGGGGCATAAATACATTACCAAATGATCCATTAAAACACAGAAGTCATATTAACAACAGGGGCACATGGGTTGCTCAGTCAGTGTCCAACTAGATTTCAGCTCAGGTCACAATCTCAGGGTCATGAGCCTGAACCCCACCCTCAGCAGGGAGTCCGCTTGAGATTTTCTCTCTCCTTCTGCCCCATCCCCCCCCAGGAGATAAAATACCCTTATTTAAAAATAAATTAAAAAATGAAAAACAGCTTTAAATTATTGGCCCATCTAACATTTTAATCTACCCCGTCTCAACTTTTTAACACATTTCCCACATGTTTTAACATCTTGGAAATCAGGATACCTCTTACAGCTGACATCGTCTTAGAATTACAACTGGCGGTATTTTTTTTCTTTTTCAATGGCAATGGTACATCCTAAAATTAACAGCCTCTAGACTCAGTGAAATATGGTTCTGCTAAATTAGACCATGAAACAATATGCTCATTCTACTAACTTGAAATACAATGAAGTATTTCATAATTCTTCAAAATTTATCTATAATGTACAACTTCTTCATTGTCAACATAACATAAAAAGTATAGCAAGGAGGACAAGGAGTTAGAGAGGAGAAGGGAGTTGGGGGAAATTGGAAGGGGAGGTGAACCATGAGAGACTATGGACTCCGAAAAACAATCTGAGGGGTTTGAAGGGGGGGGGTGGGAGGTTGGGGGAACCAGGTGGTGGGTATCGGAGAGGGCACGGATTGCATGGAGCACTGGGTGCGGTGCAAAAACAATGAATACTGTTACACTGAAAATAAACAAAAAAAAAAAAGAATTAAAGCGTGAAAATTGTTAATATAAAAAAAAAAAGTAAAACCCCTGATGTGCCACTTTTGTATCCTTTGATTACCAATCTACCTGCCACAAGTATTGACCCTGTAATTATATCAGCAAATTAATAACCGATTAAAAACTGATCTTCCAATCCTACCACCTTTACCTCCTAAGACTATTTTTTCACTTCTTCTGTGATTGTGAAAGAATTTCAAATGTACAGAAAAGTCACAAGACTAGAACAAAGGATTCCCGTCTGTCTCGACCCGGGCTCACCGGTTTTAAACAGCTCATCAGATTCGCCCCCGTCCTCTGTGGATATTTTTCCTAAACCACTTGGGAAGAGGCTGCATACAACATGCCCCTCGACTCCTCAGAACATCCATATTCCTAAGACACCGCCCCGGCTCAGTTACCAAATTCGGAAAATTTAAGGTTGTATTCCAGTAATAATGGAGTAGCCTTCCTATTTTGCCAAACATCCCGATAACGTCCTCTGTGACACTTTCCCCCGGAGGTCACGCTGCGTTTAGCTATCACGCGTCCTTAGTCTACTTTCACCTGGAACAATTCCCCTATCTTCCTTTGACTCTGATGACATCTTTAGGAAGACGGGCCAGTGAGTCACCGGTGGTCCTCACCTCGGTTCTCCTGTCGTCTCCTCGCCTCCGGCTCATGACTCGGCACATGCATCTTGGGCAATGCCCCACAAGTGGGGCTGGGAGCTTCTCAGGGCCCTGTTGTCGGGTGCCCATGGGGACCTTCTGCTTTGAGAGTGATGGTCACCACCCAGTTAGGGTGATAGGTGCTATCTCCACAGTGGGGTTACCAATTTCCCCTTATAACGAATAATTTTTCGTAAGTAGCTCGAGATGATGTAAATATCCTGCTTCTCACTGAACTGTCCCTCAGTAGATGTAGCCCTTGTCATGATTCTGGCCCACGTTAATTTTCACTAGATGGTGGCAAAGTGGCAATTTGCTGATTCCGTCATTCCTTCTAGACTAACAGTCAGCATTCTACTACAAGGAAGAGCTCTCCCTCCTCTCTACCCGTGTGCCTACTGCCGTTACGTATGAGCACCTCAATGCCTGTTCTGTTCAATGGGTTCTAATCTACCCTCATTCTTGTTTCCTCCGATGCTCAGCCTGCCCAGTCTGGCCCCGGGCAGCCACCTCAGGTTGGCCTCTCTCTTCCCTGGATGCGCCCCAACAAACACTCTGAACTCCTCCTCATATTGGGGCTCCACAAAATGCCCCAGGCTTCTGTATCACTCCCCCTCCTCAGCCCTCAGATCTGCCACCTCTCAGACATCCCTGGCTCCTCTAAATGGGAAATGGTATCTTGAAATCAAGATCTGAGCAAAAACGAATCCCTTTAAAACTAACCAAATAAATCAAGACAAACAAATCAATAGTCCTTCTACAAAGACTTTATTCCTGACCCATATCTTTAAAAAGTGGCTTCGGGAAAGTCCTCCATGTGACCTCCGGCTAGAGTGAGCCAAAACTCCTGATTCTTCATGACAATTAATACCAAGATAACCAAGAATAAATTCCATTACGGACGGGATATTTCTACTCTTTTCACAGCCAATAAAATATTTCTTTAAAAAAAAAAAAAAAAAGTTTTGTTCCTCAAGGGAAAAATGAAATAAGCAAAGAATGAGACAATATGTGTTTTTCCAAAATATCAGAGGGGTTTCTTACAGTAATTTTGTTCATCAAAAGGATCATTGTAAACCTATTCATGTTATCGTTATTATTTTCTCTTTTACAGTTTCTTCTATTTCCCAGCGACTGTCATATGCTAAGTCAAGATAAACCTACAAATGAGAGGAGCTATTCCAACAGTAAGAAACTGAGTCAATCACACATAAATATGCAGTGAACCTGGGTTTTGATATCACCCACAAAGAGAGGCAGCGATGTGTCATGTCTGTCTAATGGAATTCAAAATTATGCGTACAATTAGAGGCTTCAAAGCGACACGAACTCATCATATTCTAATTACAACTTCAAAACTTTAAACGTCAGTTGAAACCAGCTCAACGATGTAAGACCAAACAGCCATGCCCATGAGCAGCTCCCGAGCCAAGCGATAGCTCCCTCCTCCCTAAAACACTGGCTTGGCTTGGCCTCTAGGGTAACCCCCACCCCCCCCGGGCCTTCCTCCTGCCCAACTCCTCCTCTGGAGTCTTTATGGGGCACCCCTCATGTGTCAGAGGCCGGAGCTCAGGCCTTGCCCGGCTCTGCCCCCTCCCCGGGGGAACCTCAGCCACTCCTGGCTTCAGCAACTTCTGGGAGCTGAGGCCAGTCTCCAGCCCCTCCTTCCTGAGCCCCAGGCCCCCCTCTACCCACCACTGCCAGCCTCAGAGCTCCACACACATCTCAGGCTCCCCAGTCCTCCCTCTCCGGGATCTGCCTGCACCTTCCCCCGCTCAGCGACAACTGCCAACTTCCAGTTGCTCCGGCCCAAATCCTGGGCGAAGGGCTCCTCCAGCTCGCCCGCCCCACACCGGCCATGCCAATGCTTCCTCTTGGTGTCATCTTCCCGACGCACACAGAACCTGCCCGCCTGTATCAGCTTCTGCACACTGGCACGAGCCGACCACACCAGCCACTGGGCTGCCCGCAGGAGCTCCTAACCTGTCACCCGGCTCCCACCCACGTCCGTGTCCACACAGCAGCCTGGGACCCTTTGCCCCCAGGCGGGTCCTCCGCTCCTCCGCTCAAAGCTGCCAGGGCTCCTGCATCCCAACAGCACAGTGTCCTTCCCACCCCGGCCCCGAGCTCCTCTCTGACGCCACCTCTCCCTGCTCCCGCCACACCCACCGCCCTGCTGCTGCCGGAACCCAAGGGGCACCCAGCCCTGGGCGCCTCTGCGGGTGGCTCTGCCTGGCACGTGTCCCCTTTCCAGGGACACGATCTCTGTCCCTCCTTCTCCTGCTTTACTCCACCCACAGCACTTTTTTTTTTTTTTTTTTTTTTTTTTTTTAAGTTGTTGTTGTTTTTTGTTTTTTTTTTTTAATAAGCTCCATGCCCACTGCGGAGCTCAAACTTACAACCCTGAGACAAGAGTCGCGTGCTCTACTGACCGAGCCAGCCTGGCGCCCTCTACACAGGGAACTCATTTAATATCTGCTCTCCCCATGGGCACCTAGGCACCTCGGGGCAGGGATGTCCCTCTTGCTCACTCACTAAAGGATCCCAAGTCATCAGAGAACTGCTCTTTGTGGCACCGAATAAATACTTGTCGAATGAATGAACAAAGGACACATGATCCCGTCATGAATCATTTATCTTCATCAGAATGTGATGATAACATTTACGCTCATCAGTTCACATCTTGATTCGTAACTAAAATTAGTCCTTGAGGTTATGAAATTCAATACCCCACCACCAAGTGTCCTTACTGGGTACATTTACTCATGACAAGTATTTCCTGAGTTGCTGCTCTGTGCTGGTGAGGACACGCTGGGGGTAAGCTCGCTCTTGAACTTACGTTGCAGTGCCCGCGGCAAACCTGCCAAGGCTACCATGTAAAGAGATGTGTGATAACTCACCCCGGAGAAGGGAACAGGCAGCCAGTGGATAGGAAATGAGGGCACTGGGGTTTGTCTCACGAGGCAATCAGGGATGACTTCCTGGAGGAAAGGACAGCTGACATGTGAGTGGTCAGAAGGTGCTCACCAGGGACGCCTGGGTGGCTCAGTTGGTTCAGCACCTGCCTTCGGCTCAGGTCATGATCCCGGCGTCCTGGGATCGAGTCCCACATGGGGCTCCTTGCTCATCAGGGAGCCTGCTTCTCCCTCTGTCTCTGCCTGCCATTCTGTCTGCCTGTGCTTGCTCTCTCTCCCTCTCTCTCTCTCTCTCTCTGACAAATAAATAAATAAAATCTTAAAAAAAAAAAAAAAAAAAGAAGGTGCTCACCAACTAGGGCCAGAGCTGGGGGGGACTGAAGCCAGAGGGAAGAACATAACTCACACTGCAGATCCAGGGGCCAAGAGAAGGACAGAGCACTGACGCGCAGAGAGCGGAGGGAAGCAAGGGAAGCCACTCCGCACCATGCCTCGGACCTGGTGGAGCCTCCATACCTTATCCTCGCTGCTTTTTTAAGCAGTTAAGACATCCCAGGTGGGTTTCACCCAAGGACAAGACCTGTTTCACATTTGAATAGAGGAGCAGGGCTAGAGTTACCTGTGGTCATCTACCACACCCGGTGCATCTGCCAGGCCCAGATGAGAGTCCTCACCTCTGCTGGGTGGGAGCCACAAAAGCACAGAGCTGGTAGGAACCACTGGTGTGCTATCGGGAGCGGGGCAAGGACTGGTAACAGCAGGCTTCTACCTCTCCAGTTTCCTAAGCATCCTCCAGGCTCCCCCGTGGCCTACATGTGGCTTGGCTGCCACAGGGAACACAGTTGCCACACAGGATCCACCAAGCCACGTCACCATGCCGACCAGCGCCCAGACAAGGGAAGTGCGCTTCCTTGAAGACGGCCCCATCAGGGCCCCCCAGACTCCGGAGAGCAGAGCTGGCCCCCTGACCCCCCAGCTGGCACTTTCCCTCTTCCCCTCCACTGCCTCCACGTAGGCAAGGCTCCGTGAGGGTTAAAAGTAGGGCCCTGCACCGACAAAAGAGTCCCCAGGGGTCCTGTGAACACGCCCCCTGGTGGGAAACTGGCTGAGTCCCTCTCATCCCACAGTACGTGGCTGTCCCGTGTTTTCAGCTGCTCCCCTTTTTCTTAGGAACAGGGAGATGCCACAAGGTGTTTATTTAAGGTTTCCTCTGTGTACAGGAAAATGGACAGTAACTGCAAAAGCATTCATCAAAAACACAGGCCTCTTATTTCCTGAGTGAACAGCTCCAAAAACTTACAATGCTCAAACATGGTAAGACGCACACGGAGCTGGAGCCTACAGGCCACGTGGCGATGACGTGCCCACACCCCCAGGCCACTGCTGCCCACCCCACGCCCCGACGCCCTGGGGCGTAGCTGCTGTGGCCTCATAAGCCCACACCTCAGGCCACCACCGGCTGGCCTCGCAGGATGGCATGAAGTCATGGTAAACATCACCTCTCCCTTTAAATAAAGCGTGCAACTCAAATTAAATCTGTTTGCCCCAAAATGCTGCCCAAACACCATCAGGAGCAGGTAACCATCAAAGGCCAGGGCAATGCTAAGGTCCCAAACAGTTCCTTTAAAATGACAACGGGTACGCCCCTTTGCACTTCTATAACAAGAGGGTGAACATCCACGTTTTGTCTTAATTTGAGGCTTACTGAGAATTCCAAACATATAGAATCCTGCTACTTTCAAGCCCATGTAACAACAGAACTTCCAAATTGACTTTAAAAAAAAACACAGAAGTGGCATTATCCTGAAGTTCCTGATCGTTAGGATAACTCTCCCAAGCACTCAGCCATCTCTACAAAAAGCTGTGACTAAGGGGAAAAAAAAAAAACACAAAAAAGCTAAATTCCCCTTTTTTTTTTATATTACAAACTATACATAGCAGTCATATTGTGGCATTTTAGCAAACACCCAATTTTGCCACGATTATTATGGCGACAATTACAGAAAAATCAAATGGGATTTCTCTCTGTGGTCTGTGAACCAACAATTACAATAAGAGTGTCCTATCCTGGTCATCTTTCCAAAAAGCTAAGTTTGGAGCCATTTACAACACGATGCCATGGTATTTCCACTTTGTAAAAGGTGTAATCTAAGTTCGCTACAAATCAGTCAGCTGAGGCCAACCGAAACGAGCCGCTGCTTGCTGGCTCTGGAAACAGCCTCCCTACAAAATCAGAGGAAGGATCAGCTCGAAGGAACATGCCATTAACTCTCCCAAGTGACTTTGGCCGGCTGTTAGGTGAGCAACCACGGAAACCGGCAACCACATTAGACACCGGGAGCTCATAAAGTATTTTCCAGATTGGAGTTTTTAGGGCTTAGGGAGATCATTGAGAATTTTATCCGAGGCCAAAGTTTTAACAACATGACTGACTCTTCTACAATTAAACTTTTAAGGCCCCGAGGTACTTCGTCAAGCCCGTCAAGTGAAATCCAACGTCCCCCACCCCGAAAGTCTGGGGTGCCGCCGTCGGGCCCCCTGGGGTGGGCCAGCAGCCACACGGAAGTGGCCTGTCAGCGCTGGCCAGTCTGCTCAAGACCTAAAGCCAACCAACCAGGGGCAGGGGCCACACACTCACCATCTGAGGTACTCCGAAAATAATGACGTTCGAGTACTGCGAGAAAGTAACCTAGAGGAGAGGGGGAGCGATGTGCAGGTTAGTTTTAAAAGGCCAACATCAAGCTGAACGTTTGTTTCTAAAGGACCAATTCCCCATTTCGTCCAACGGCAGGTTTCCACAGAGTGGCTCCGTGTGAGATCTCACGAGGAGAAGCCACGTTCATGCTTCTGTTAATCTGACCCACTGCCGCTGTCCAAACACCTCCCTAAGTCACTGCTGTCACCCTCGAGGATGCTCCTGGTAGGGCCTACCAGGGGTCATCCATCCGAAACGCCAGTGACTCATCCAGTGACCAGCTGGTGGCCGTGCGGTTGGCCTCGGCCACCTGTGCCCTGATGTACACTTCTTACCCTGCTCCACCACATGCCAAACGGGCTCGGCGGGAACGTGTGACACCAGACACACACCTGTCTGTGACGCTGAGCCATCTCAAGATTCTAGGCCCCCTCCTCTTCTCTAAAAGACTAAGTAAAAAATGGAATGAAATGATCTTTAGTTGAAAAACTGGGAGAAAAGTGCTTTGCCAGTCAAAATTCTTATTACCCAATCAAAGTCTTATCTACTCTATAGAGGGATCGTTTATGCATAGACAGTCTAAAAAACAATGCAAGCAAAACTCAAGTGAATTTTTATAAGCTACTGATGACAATATCACAATGGGAAATTCTTATTTAAGAAAAAGCATTTCATGGAGCAATTCTAAAGCAAAATTACAGGACATTCTTTTTTAGAGTACAAATAAACTTGAAGTATCTTATACATTATGAAGACCAGAAAGAACCATGACAACGTAATCAGGGGATTCTTTTTGGGTGGGGACGGGATTCTCTCTTTTGCATTCATCTCTCTCTGTAGACACACATGTACACACACAGCCACACACAAAAACACACCTCTGTGTACGCACACACTTGCACACATGCACACCGGGTCTACCATCTACCAAGAAGGCCACTAACAAGTTAATTCCTGGATGATAATTTATAAGATTTCCAAATGAAATAAGTATCTCATCATTTTGTAACGAATAGAAAGGAAAACTTTTTAATTGAGCAAATTCTTAGAATTCACATGACCTATTGGGTCTAAGACCTTAAGCTTCTACTCTAAAAGTGTTAACGTATAAATCTATCAATTTAAAAAGTGTTCACATTTCATGATGCTGAGATATACACTTGTATCTTAACTGTTTTCCTTTTAATCCTACTAATTGTTTTTAATCATACTAATTGCGAATTACAAAGTTTTAGTTGGCATTTCCTGGGAGCGTCCTCTGCCTTACATACCTTCCACAAGTCTGAAATATAAAACTTGGCGGAGTCCTGCACCCCTTCTCGCCAAGCACGGTATCTGGAGTACCAAACCAGCCATGGGTTTAATTCATAACCAACGGCTCTGAATCCTGCTTTTGCAGCTGCTATCACCTGCAGAAAGAGGCCAGTGTTTATTCAAGGTAAAAAGAAAAACATCAACCTACGGAATGGAAGATCTCTGCAAATGACATCCAATAAGGGGTTAGTATCCACAATATGTAAAGAACTTAGACAACTCAACACCAAAAACAACAAATAATCCAATTAAAAAGGGGCAGAAGACGTGAAGAGACATTTCTCCAAAGAAACGTGCAGAATGGCCAACAGACACATGAAATGATGTTCAGCGTCACTCACCGTCACGGAAATGCAAATCCGGACGACAATGAGATACCACCTCGCACTCGCGAGAGTGGGTCCAGTCAAATACACAAGAAACAAGTGTCGGTGACAATGTGGAGAAGAACCCTCACGTACTATGCGTGGGAATGTGAATTTGGTGCAGCCTCTGTGGAAGAGTATGGAGGGTCCCCCAAAAATTAAAAACAGAAATACCATATGATCCAGTAGTTCCACTACTGGGTATCTACCCAAAGAACATGAAAACACTAATTTGAAAAAATACATGTACCTCTATGTTTACCACAGCATTATTTACAATTGCCAAATTACGGAAGCAGCCCCAGTGTCCAGTGATAGATGAAGGGATAAAGAAGGTGTGGTGTATGTACATATACACAATGGAATATTACTCAGCCATAAAAAAAGAATGAAATCTTGCCATTTGCAACAAATGGATGGATCTAGAATGGTATGATACTAAGTGAAATAAGTCAGAGAAAGACAAATACCCTATGATTTCACTCATATGTGGAATTTAAGAAACAAAACAAATGAACAAATATAGAAACAAACAAAAATACCAGACACTTAAATACAGAGAATAAACTACTGGTCCCCAGAGGGGAGACAGGCAGGGGGGTGGGTGAACTAGGTGACAGGGATTAATGGTGCACTATCATGATGAGCACGGAGTCACTCAAACAATTGCTGAATCACTGTATTGTACACCTAAGACTAATGTAACACTGTATATTAACTATACTGCAATTTAAAAAATAAACTTAAGAGTTTTTTAATTAATTTGATTTAAAAAAAAAGAAAAACAGCAACTTAACGTGCCCCACTGATAGGACTACTTCCTATTTATGGTCTATAATCACAAAATGTCCAATCAAAAGGCACTTCTTTTGTTAAAAAAGCCATTTAAAGATAGAACTCTGAAACTATGTAGCTTTGCAAACAAGACAATGCTGACTTAAACTCAGTTTTCATGTTTTTATTGAAGATTTCACCTGGAGCACCACCACTGTCAGGTTTGCTGGACAGAGCATTTCTGGATCGGCCAACCCCTGGCTCCGCCCGACGAGCAGTCCCTGAAAGCCCAGCACCCCTCTCCATCAGTTGACAGCAGAGCAGCGGGCAAAACGAATCAGCTGGGAGAATGTTTTGTGAACTAGCTCTAATCTTCGATCAAAATGACCTGTCAGGGGCACCTGGGTGGCTCAGTGGTTAAAGCCTCTGCCTTCGGCTCAGGTCATAATCTCAGGGTCCTGAGATCGAGCCCCACATCGGGCTCTCTGCTCAGTGGGAAGCCTGCTTCCCCCTCTCTCTCTGCCTTCCTCTCTGCCTACTTGTGATCTCTTTCTGTCAAATAAATAAATAAAATCTTAAAAAGAAAAAAAATGACCTGTCAATGAGAACCTGCAACTACTTACACACTTCCTTATACTTAAAGACTGTTCACCCCAAGTTGAAAACAGGTTAAAAGTAAAAGGGAAGGAGTCACAATACAGTCGACTGCAGAAGGCTATAGGCCTCTGTAAGCTGAGGACAGTGGGCTGGTCCTGCGGTCCCTGCTCATTCTGTCTTCCCATCACTCCTCAAGGGAGCATCCTGAAGGAGCTGTCCACCCACAGTAATTTCCCTCGTTAACTATAGTGTTACCCCCTTAAGGAGAAAAGGAAACCGCAAAGATACTACTCAGATGGGTAAAGCATTCGTAACTGGGTTGGGGTTTTTTTTTAAGATTTAAGATGTGGGGCTCGATCCCAGACCCTGGGATCATGACCTGAGCTGAAGGCAGAGGCTTTAACCCACTAAGCCACCCAGGCGCCCCCATAATTGGGTTTTAAAACTTCCTCCTGGTTCACAGATATACCTCTTGATTTCCTAAAAACAAACAAGTTTTTTATGTTCTAAATATGCTTATGTTTTAAACTCATCCTGGCTATCTGGGTCATCAGGACAGCACAGCTCCAGGGGGTGGTAAAAGGAGTCAAGCCCCTGCTGGTCTCCACCCAAATGTTTCCAGAACAGGAGCTCTGACTACTGCTATCCTCACTTTCCGAGTCATCCCTGGATGGGGTCCTAAGGATGGTGCCACCGTGCCCATGGAGGGACATGCTGGGGACACCCGCTGGCCAGTGGCCTTGAATCTTACTTCTAGGTTCTCCGCTGGAGTCAGGGAGCAGAGATCACTCCAAGTCTCATCTCTGGATAAGTGAGGGTTAATGCACTGGCTCTTTCCCATTTTAACTCTACATGACCCCACAGAAATCATTACAATGTATAAATAAAAACAAGTATAGAAGCAAATGTCTATGTTAAACTACAGGGCTCCATGTTTCCTCTAATTAACACCACTTCTCCTGGCCCGGGTTTTTTTATTGGAAAATTTCGTAATTACTAATTAATTGCTCCTTTTTACCTGGCAAATCTACAGAGCACTTCCACCTTTCAGAAAAATTAAATCTGAGAAAAATAAATTCCAGTTCATGCTGGAGGGTTTGAGAGTTCAGCCAAACACACAAAATAAATGACTTTACTAAACTGTCCGATTTAGCAGGTCCTGGCATAAACCTCATAAATGAGGTGAAGCTGGGATGGGCTAGATGGGTGATGGGGATTGTGGAGGGCACGTGTGATGAGTACTAGGTATGAATCGCTAAATTCTACTCCTGCAACCAATACTACAATCTATGTTAACTAACTAGAATTTAAATAAAAACTAGATACAAGAAAGAAAGACAGAGAGAGAAACGAAGCAGGAATTTTAAAACCTCTAGTTCAAAACCTTCAAGCGTCTTAGCATAACTCACGACACGCCCGTCGCCACTGCCAATGTCGACCAGGGATCCTGTTCTGCAATGCAACATTTTCACAACATTTTCAATCTGCTTCGTAGTTGCAGGTACAAAAGGCAGACAAATTTTTCGGAGGGCTGGCGTTAGAAATGGTGTGGCCACGGCATACACGGCCACCAGCGTCCCGCCAACAATCCCGGTAAATAAGAACCCCCAACTGCTTCTCTTTGAACCGTTGGCTCCGCGACTTTCAGGTAGGACGCATCCTGACTCATTTTCTTCAGGGACTTCTGGGGGTGCACCTAGATGGAAAGCAAGCAGGAAACAGGTACATCACACCAATCTGAAATCCAAGGTAGTTTTTTTTTCTATAATTCTTCCTGACAAACTCATACTGTTTAAAGGATGATTTAGCTAAACACAACCTAATTACAAAGGTAGGATTCCATGAGTTCTAAATTCCATCAACTAAACTGAAGCGTTTCTGAGAAAACGATTCAGTTCTAATGGGAGACTAACTAAAATCTTTTCTTTCCAACTTACTAATTTTTTTTTTTGAGTCATTCTTTGAAAAAATTGTATTCGGGCGTCTGGGTGGCTCAGTCGTTTAAGCAGCTGTCTTTGGCTCAGGTCATGATCTCAGGGTCCTGGGTTCAAGTTCCGCATCAGGCTCCCTGCTCAGCCTCTCCCCCTCCCCCTAAAGTGTGTATGCACACACACTTTCTCTCAAATAAATAAATAAAATCAAAAAGAAAACAATGTATTCATTCCTCTCTGGCATATTATGAATTTAATAAAAACACACATTAATACAGATGTTAACCATGAACTCCATATTTTCATAGTTTAGAACAAAACTTCACAAGTAAGTATTAAAATGTCTAATTACCACCCTGTTTCCAATAAGATACACAGATTCCACATCCAACTTGGTTAGGTGTCTACAGTCCAGATGCACTAATACCAGTATCAAATAATAGGAGACCAAAATCTGGTTTCACAAAAAAAAAAAAAAAAAAAAAAGTATGGTAATAGAAGGATTTTTGAAGAAGATCCAAAAAGACCAAATGATAAAATCATTTCAATCCACCAGTGTGGAATAAAGCAAGCTCCATCCAGTCACTTGAACACAGAAATGAATGAAACCTGAAACATACTCCTCCTGAGTTTTACCCTTTAAAATACAGTCTTAAGAGGAACTCAAGTTCCCAGGACTGAAACTGATTTGAAAGTGATTTTGAAATTGATTACAGAGGGGCCCAGCATAGCAAGTAAGAGCATGACCCCCAGGTGAGGATCTGGGCTCTGCACCTGACTACTGGTATGACCCTTCATCTCTGGGAACTCTGCATTTCTCATCTGTAACATGGGGATTACAGGGTCACTGCAAATTAAGCGAATGGATGCAAGGGACACACTTAGAACACGGCTTGGCACATGCTGACCGTGTCCACCGCTGGCTATGTGCTGAACCCTACAAGGAACAAAGCCGCCCAGAAGCAGCTCCCAGTCTAGTAGAGAAGAGAGGGCCCAAAACACAGGAATCATAGGAAACAGAAGACAGTAAGCGGGGGGAGAACAAGAGATTCTTGTCATTTGAAGACGTTAACATCCATGGTTTCAGGAATTAGTAAGCGATTCTAAAGGCCCATTGGATTAGTTTCCCAATGCTGCAGTGAGAAATCTTAGAGTTAAAGTAACCCGCACTTACTATCGTACAGGTCAGGAGGTCGGACATCTGAAATGCGTTGGCAGCACTGGGCTCCTTCTGGAGGCTCTAGGGTGGGATGGATTTGGTTACCTTTTCCAGCGTCTAGAAGCCACCCACACTCCCTAGCCTGTGGCCCCACATCACCCCAACCTCTGCATCTATCAGGATACCTCTGACTCCCCCCACCTCCCTTTTCTTTATAGGGATCATTGTGAGGACACCAGGTCCACCCAGACAAGCCAGAATGATCTCCCCATCTCAAGCCCTAACAACATCCCATTTATAAATTCTCTTGTGTACTATATTCACAGGTTCCAGAGATTAGGACATGGACCTGGGTGGGGCGGGGGGAGCCTCTGCCTACCATACCCGTGAAATATGGTGATCTGTTACAACTTGTGAGGTACAGGGGTGAACACATGACACACGAAAAGCTGGCCTGCTGCAGTGAGTCACTGCTCGAGGCCACTGACCAAGCACCAGCATCTCAAACAGAGAGGAGCTTTGCTCTTGACACCTGAGGTCCCCTGAAGTGAGTTTTAAAACTGGTTTCACAATGGAAACAAGAACAAGAGTCTCCTGCTGGTGCTGGAGATAAGATAAAATTAAGATAAGGAAGGTGACGGTGTTTACCAGAAAGCAAGAGTTTGAAGTACATTTGCAGTTAGACTTTTCAGTATCATAAGGAGGACTTTACATGCCATAGTAAATAGTCATGCATTTGATTGTTTCTTAAAAAGTCAAAGTACCACCTTGGGACGCCTGGGTGGCTCAGTTGGTTAAGCAGCTGCCTTCGGCTCAGGTCATGATCCCAGCGTCCTGGGATCGAGTCCCACATCGGGCTCCTTGCTCATCAGGGAGCCTGCTTCTCCCTCTGCCTCTGCCTGCCATTCTATCTGCCTGTGCTTGCTCTCTCTCCCTCTCTCTCTCTCTGACAAATAAATAAATAAAATCTTTAAAAAAAAAAAAAAAAGTCAAAGTACCACCTGTCAGACCTCTGCAAAATTATACTGTCGGTATTCCGATTATACAGCACAGTGGTTAAAAGGGTTTGAGTCATAAAGTTCTGGAGTCACAGAACTTAACTAGTGTGTAATATTGAATAAGTTTTGGCCAAGGCTCGGGCTCTTCGCCTGTAAAATTCAGAAATAAGAGTGTCCTCATGGGATTATTGGAAATAGATAAATAATAATGCATATAAGACAATGCTCTAAGTAAGAGAGTGAGTGATGACTGTTAGCTACCGTTACTGTTAGTGTCAGTACTATGGGTGCAGGGGGAGCTCCGTAATTTTTAACAGCTTCATATACCATACAATGTGCCCATTTAACATACATACTCCAAAGGTTTTCGGTATATGCATAGATATGTGTAACCATCACCAAAGTCAATTCTAGGACATTCTCATCACCTCAAGAAGAAACCCCTTAAACTTTAACTATCACCATCCCCGCCCCCTTCACAACTTAGCCCTAAACAACCACGAATCTACTTTCTGACTCTACAGAGTTTCTGGAATTTCACGGGAGTGGAATCATATAGCATGTGCTCTTTTGTGACTGACTACTTTCACTTAGCGTGTTTTCAGGATCCATGGATTAGTACAGCAGACCCTTGAAAAACACCGGTTTAAGCTGCACAGATCCTCATAAGCACGTATTTTTTTGGATACACTATTGTAAACATTTTCTCTTGTGACTTTAACAACATCTTTTCTCTAGGTTACTTTATTGTAGGCATACAGTATGTAATACCTATAACATACAAAATACGGAAACTGGCTTCCCATCAACGTATCAGCAAAGTTTTGGGGGAATCAAAAGTTGTACATGCATTTTCTGCACATGGGGTCTGACTCTACAGGTTTAGACCGCACGGGTGCCCCTAGCCAGCGCAACTGTTCAAGGGTCACTGTACTTTATCACTTTTTATGCCCGAACCTAACCCTATAAAGTACGAGGTCATGACCAGGACCCTGAAGCGGCAGAAGGGATTTCGAGGACAGAGTACTATCAAGACAGAATCAAGATTGGGAACTTAACTCTGGGCTGTGCAAACTTGCTTCCTACGGGCTGTCTCACGTTGCCCGAGTTACTCTTTGTGCAAAAAGGGAATTTATTCAACAAACACTTAAACAGAACGTGCTAAGGGCCAGGCACTGTTCTCCCTGAACCCTTTCTGGAGCTGTGCCGGGCAGATGCTCTTGTCACTACTGCCTTTTTTGCAGGCAAGGGAACGGAGACACAAAGCGGTTGTCACCCCGAAGCCCCAGCTAGCAGTCACCGGCCGCGCGGCAGGATTCGCACCCAGCGTGACTCCGGTGCACAACTCAGAACACCGTGGGGCACAGCCCGCGAGCTGCTCGTCCCAAGGCGCTCCGGACAGCTCCCGGCAGCGGCATGCGGGTACCAGCGAGCGCCCCGTGCACCCCCAGCTCCCACTCCCGCCCGGCCCACCCCGGCCCGTGGGGTGCTCCGCAGCCCGCCAGCCCCACGTGGGGCCCTCAGCCGCCACCCCTGCAGCCCGCTGCCCTAGCCGGCTCACCGCCTCCTCCCTCCATCGCGAGACTTCCTGCGTGTCCGGGAGGGGGGCGGAGACGGAGGCGGGGAGTAGGGGGAAGAGAATGGGAATCCGGGTGGGCTCTACCATCGTCTCGGAGCCGGGGTGGGACGGAGGGAGAAAGTAACGCCATAAGGAAAGGACTCCTCGTTGGGGACCCACTACCCAGAAACTCTCCATTGTACAGCTCTGGCAAATGAGTTTCATCTACTCCCGGCTTGTGGGTTTTAACTTCCCGCCCGTGTCTTCGAACCCCCCCCACACACTTCCTGGATGATTGAAGTTTCCTAAGGCCTCTGATTCCAGAAGGTACTGTCTGGCGTCAAAGTGGTCTCGGGTGAAAAAGAAGTCTCAGGCGACCCAGATTGCGCATGCGCGCATCGTTAGCGCCCTCCCGCGAGCGGAAGGCGTGTGCTCAGTTCCGGAGCGGTCGCCACCGGTTGGGGGAAACTAACCACCTCTGCTGCACCATGGCGTCGGTCGGGACCCTCGCCTTCGATGAATATGGGCGCCCTTTCCTCATCATCAAGGATCAGGATCGCAAGTCTCGTCTTATGGGACTTGAGGCTCTCAAGGTAGCGGGACGGACGCGGGCGGTGTCTTAAGGGGAGGTGGCCTGAGCCGGTGGCTCTGCGCCTGCGCCAGCCCAGCAGCGGTTCGGCCATGTGCTCCCGGGGAGGGTTGGGGAACTCGGTCTCCTCTCCGGCCCTGCACCCCGCTCCTTGAGCTGGGGCGAGGCCCGCGTAGAAGCCTTTAATCCCGGTTTGGGGGTTGGGGCGGAGCCGCTGGCGCCCTTCTGCGTTGGGTGGGGCAGCTCGGTGCCTAGACTGAGCGCGCCTCCGTCGACTGTCCGGTCTGGACCTTCGCATCGCGTTTCCGTCGGGAAGGCGCAGGGAGAGTGTTCTCTGCTCACCTGGCCAGGGGAGAAGCAACAGCCCCCAAAGGATGGGGCTCCCTTTTTGTCACTTCTTAGAGGCGTAGTCGTTTACAAAGTATTTTATTTCTCAGCGCCTTTCTGCATGGCGGGATGCGGGATGTGGTGTCGTAAAAACGAAACGCGTGTGCCCTTAAGTAAAAAAATACCACCGCCGGGTGGAAGATGCACCCCCGTGACCATCGTGCAAGGAATACGAGGCAGCGTGTGACTAGCATCACCCTTGTGGATGTGGATGAAAGGCTGAGGGTGGGTGGGCCACTGTTTTGAATGGGACAGAGGTAGCATTTGGGGGAGAGGGGACAGCAAAGGCAAAAGACTGGACAGGAAAACGCGACGCATTGTAGAGGGACAGAACAGCGTGGTTTCGGTGGAGCCCAGTCTCATGTAAGTTAACAGCATTTCCCCCAATGTGGAAGCCTGAATGCTTCACAGTCGAGATGTTAATCCTCGAAGGGAGGGGAGCCAGTAAGGGGGTTTTCCACAGAACCGCAGTTCAGGTAGAACTGTACTGTAGGAAGTGGGGTCTGGTGGAGGAAAGGGAACAGGAAGGACCAGAGGAATTAAACCAAGGGCAGGAGTGCAGGTGAGAAAGTCGTCTGAACACAGACATTGACAGAAAATGCAGGGGAAGCTTTGAGAGGATGCAGAATTCTTTAGGGTTTATTAAAATGAGATCGCATCACCCGGTCTGAGGTGTCTCTGTTCACGTGGTGTCTTTGTATCTTAAACAAGCGAAGAAGCCGTACAGTTCTCTCACTGACTGTTGCACAATGTCTCGGAACCTCGTTTCTCAGTGGGGGTAGTACACCTCCCTCAGGTTGAGGATGAGGGTGACATGGGGTCACTTCAGAAGGGGCCATGGTTCAGGCAGGTGGTGCAGCTTAGCATTGAAGAATGGGGCTATGATTCAAGCTCACCTCTGGCTGACGCCAAAGCCAGTGGTCTAAAGCCAGAGTTCTCAGCATTGGCATTGTTAATATTTGGGCGGCCGGATCCTTCTTCCTTGAGCGGCACTCAGTCCATGCCAGTAGCAGCCCCCACCCCATTTGTTACGACCCAAGGTGTCTGCATTGCCAGATGTCTGCCCAGGGACAAAACCATCCCCGCTTACGAACTGCTTACCTGGGGCGCCTGGGTGGCTCAGTGGGTTAAGCCTCCGCCTTCGGCTCAGGTCGTGATCCCAAGGTACTGGGATGGAGCCTCGCATTGCTCTGCTCAGTGGGAAGCCAGCTTCCCCCCTCTCTCTGCCTACTTGTGATCTCTCTCTCTGCTCCATCCCAGGACTCTGAGACCATGACCTGAGCCAAAGGCAGAGGCTTAACCCACTGAGCCACCCAAGTGCCCCTGTCAATGTGTATTTTAATGACGACCTGGATTTTCACAGATCTGTGAAGTTTGACTTTTCTTAACCTGTATGATGGAGTGAGCCAGGAGGGCTTCACAGAACGTGTGCGTTTGAACTTCTTTGAAAGTTGGTCAGAGTTTTGAAGAGCAGAGTGCCTTCTATGCACTGTACGGTTTCAAGGGTCAGAGGGCATATGTGGGGAATAAGAGTGGACCATCGTCACCGGAAGGGGAACTAGCTCTCAGGTTGTGAAGGGCATTGGAGGAAACGGTGAAGCTTTCAGACTTCAGTGTTGAAGCACTAGGACGTCATTTAAGGTTTGCAGACTAGCAAATAACATGTTTGAGAAAGATGGATGGATTAGCTGGATGTTGGATGACTAAAGGATGGGAAGTAAGATGAGAGACCCTGCACTTTTATAGGGTCCTCTGGATCCAGAGGCGACAGCAAGACTGGGAGCAAAGGAAACATTATGTGTGCAAACAGGAAAGGGATAATCTTGGCACATGACAAGGGTGGCTTTTCACATGGGCCATGTACTGGCTCAGCCGTGGAAGAGAATGGTACGGTTCTGCAGTACTCCGTAACGTGATAGTTCAAGGTGCTGCACAGGGACATCTGGACTCTCTGCGTGAGGTTAGCATGGCAGAATGGTCTCGCAAGGCCTGTCCGGTCGGACTGCCCAGGCTCTCGGCTGTGAAATGGGGCAGGTAGGAGAACCTGCCTCCTAGACGTGCTGAGTTAAAGCACTAGCTTCCAGTTCTTCTACGTAAGAATGGTCTACTCAAGCTGGTGTTGGTGAAGGTTACCACACTTACACCTGTGTGTTGACTTTTAAATGCAGAAGCTTCTAGAGAGTAGAAACTATGTGTAATTAGATTTTATAATCATTAGTTGTATGCTTTTAACTTAAAATTGTAGTTAACTTGAACATTTGTTTTTTCTGTTTATTTCATTTTTTTAGTCTCATATCATGGCGGCAAAGGCTGTAGCAAATACCATGAGAACATCACTTGGACCAAATGGTAAGAGACTATCATTCCGTGTTTTTTGACAAATACTATCAATTACAGACAGTTGATAGAATCCTTTTATAAAGTTGGGACGTGGAGCAGGGGGCATCCTGGGTCCCCAACGCTAACACACTGGTTCTGTGTGCTCCGGGCTTTCAACGTATTTATAAACGTAGGTGCATATGGTTTCACGTCAGGGGTTTTTTCTCCCTTTTCACATCATTTCATTAGCATTTTCCAAATTGTAGTTGTCCCTTTTGATGATTAATGCTACACTTAGTGACGCTTCCTTATTTCTCCCATTTCTCTGGCTTTAGCCCTTTAGATTGCTTCCCGTGTCCTGCTTTGTGTTTGCTAACCTAAGACTGTCTGCGTGTAGATACTCTTTCATGTATGTTAAATTTTTAGAATAAGTTCTGTAAATAGGGATTGAGTCAAGAAGCCTAACTTTATAATTTTCGTACAGATTTTGTTTTTGTTCTTTTCCCTAATGCCATTATAAACATTGCCATCTTTCTAGGACTTGATAAAATGATGGTGGACAAGGATGGCGACGTGACGGTCACAAATGATGGCGCCACCATTCTGAGCATGATGGATGTCGATCACCAGATTGCCAAGCTGATGGTGGAGCTGTCCAAATCCCAGGATGATGAAATCGGAGATGGGACCACGGGGGTGGTTGGTAAGAAAGCACCATAGCCTTTCTAACACCCCATTTCAGACATATTAGTTAAAATCGCACATACCTGCCAAAAGTACCTACTGTGAATCAGATGTGAGGAGACAGTTGTGCAAATCCAAGTTGAAGGACATGCTCAAATCCAAGGCCCAAAAGTCCTTTTCCTGGAAAAACAAGAAGGGGTTGGGGCAACATTAAACAGCTGTTCTAAATCAAGGGAGCCAGAGAGAAATGGCACCCAGATGAGTGCGTAACATGTGATTGGCTGTGGGTGCTTTGTTGTTCTCTTTGTTTTTGTTTTGTTTAACTGTGAGGGATGTTTGGGATTTATGTGGGGCTTGTGGAATGCACATTTAGAATAGTACCCCGTTAACTTTCCTGAGCGTGGCAGTTGCATTATAGTGCTGTGGGAGAATGCCCTTATACCCGGAGTCGATGCTCAGGTACTTAGGGGTGACACGTTGTGATGTTCCCAACTAACGGTCACAGAGTTGAACAGAATTACTTGTGTATATCCGTAGAGAAATGTGGCAGAATGGTGTTAGTGAGTAAACTATTCATTTTCCTATTCTTGCATTTTCTCCTGATGGTCTGAAATACTTAAAAAGTTGGGGAAGGTGAAGAGGGAAATAGCTGTAATGTTACCTTTTCTGCAGATGAGATTTGAATTCATTTATTCAACAAATATTTTTTGTGTACGAAGCACTATTATGGATATACTTGGAGCGTTAATGTTGGAGTAGTAAAACAAACAGTGTTCTTCCTCTTTGTGACCATAAAACAAGGGGGAGGGAAGGTGGTGGGGAGGATAAAGCATAAATTTTTAGATCGTCTTATCACTAACAAATTCTACAGAATAGAAATCCCTGGCCTGGGAGGGGTGCTTGGCTGGCTCACTTGGTAGAGTGTGCAGTTCTTGATCTCGGGGTTGTAAGTTAGCCGCCCATGTTGGGTGAGAGGATTACTTTAAAAAATCCAGGGGCACCTGGGTGGCTCAGTCAGTTACGTGTCTGCCTTCGGCTAA